TTGCTGGCATTAGCTACGGCGGAAGAGACAGACGTAAATGAAAATATCTGAAGCATAGTGTGTATAAAAATGGCTTTGGGAGACCAAATTGCTATAAATAATAAACTGTATGATATGTATATACTTGCATGTACAAATATTACCCAAGTGCAAAACATCCACGAGACATAATCACTCACACACTTAATCCACACACCCACCCCAGTTCAATTATAATATCTGAAAGTGTTGAATTTCTCACTGAATGATTTTTTTTGCTCATGCCAACTGTAAGCAGGGTTAGTTAGATATGGAAGGGCGTCATATAGAGTCATCTGTAGCAACTGTAAGCAGAACCTGATAAGGAAAACAGGCGTCATATATAGTATTATTATTGTCCATGCATATGTGGAACAATTGTAAGCAGGTCCGGTGATGGAGGAAGAAAGGACCTGAACCTGCTGAATGTAGCACCTAATTTTTTAATTGTGGAATTGAAAACACAAGCTCCAAACACATATATGTACCAAATTCTCGGAATCATATTGTGCTAAATTCTTAGTGTTCTAAGGTAAAAAGTGAAAAAGGACTAAAATAATATCAATAAAATGTTTTATGTTATAAATAGTATAATCGCACAAAACATTCTTTGTAGCTAAAATTTGACTTTTGATTATCAACCAGTCATGGTCATCTAAAGGCGTGTTTACTCTATCATTTTTCAAAAACCACCGATTTCTAGACCGACTTCCATTCTTCCATGTTATTAGTTATGTGAGTTCAACAGGAATAAAAAAAACCGAAATCATGCAATGATTTATAAAGATCGCAATTAAAAATAAACACTTTCATTCAACTTCAGATTGTCTTCGTAATTCTAATTCTAATTTAATGCGTTCTATCCTGTTTTCACTGCGCTATATTGGTTGGCTTTATTTAATTTGCTCCATAATTCTGTCATTTAAAGTTTGCTTCCGTAAATAGGTTCTTACTGTTTATTAAAAGCAAATCCTAACAACCTATCTAACCACATATGGTTTAGTGTACCAAGCTGCGTTATAACCAGAGGACTGTCTTAACAAACAGGGGCATACATCACGTGTTATAAGTGCCTCTGTGAAACTAATGGTCAGAATGATCGATAACCATCACTCTTTCTCTAGAAACTGTACCAAACAGCATTAGCCCAGGCATAAGTCGCACGACCTGTATCAGGTGACTTGTATACATGCCCTAATTATACCCTTTTTATTGTATTTTGTAAACCCACGGTGGTTCATTTCTGACACATTTCTTCGGTCCACGTCTACTTCTAAACTGACTAATGCGTATACAAGCCTTTAGTAAGCTCGGACTTTCCCCGACCATCGAGGAATTTTAGGCAACTCTGGCTTTTTGTTCCGTATTCAGCCGGTCACAAGTTGTATTGTTAATGCACATTTCGGTACATGTGGTGGGGTGGGGTGCTCCGTGAAGAAATTACTACAATTAGGGTAATAAATATGTCCCATTTCTTTTAGTTAACTATCTTGCAGCGTTTGACAGTGCATGTGTTCAAAGAAACAACGCATGATAAAGATTTAATACGTATATTTAATCAATATTGTGAGCTTAACGTTTGTTCTTGCTTGTAAGTTGTACTTCAGAATATGGTCACTCGTTGATAGTTTACACAGCATTTCAGCCCAAAGTCAGACTTATTTGCAATTAGGCTTGTTCTCTCCTTTGGATTGCTTTACAACCTGTTATGATATAGATCAAGTGAAAATGTGAATAAATAGGGATATGATAAACAAATGACTCGATCCTGTTTAAGATCAGTCAATGGGAATCTGAGTCTACAGTTGCATTATTGAAATCAGATATAGTTCGAGAGAAGTTATTTATATAAACTATTTACTGGAATTAGTAGAAAGCTCGTAACCTCTGGGATTAATGCATTACATTAGATTTTTGTGAACTGATTCAAAGGCATTCTGGATTACATAGATGTGCTATATCAAGATATTTAAATCTATTAGAATTTATTTTGGAACGTTCTGTCATTTTGGATTTGTGATATGACAGTTACAATTATTTAGAATTTAAGTCATGTTTTTAGTTTTCTTGAATTGTCACTTTTTGTTATAGTTAAACAAATTGGTTGTTGATATTAATTAATTTATTGGTTTCATTTTATTTCTGTTACATACTTTTAGACCTATAGTCGTAATATAAATTTGTTTCACATAATTTGATCAAGAGTGCAGCAATATGGAGTATGCATGTATTGCAAAAATAGGTGCCACTGACATTTATGAATAATACATTTAGTTGCAAGGAAAAGTGGATATTGTAGAACACTTGAAGTAATTGAAAATGATCTGTTTTTTGTACATAATATTTGCAAAAATAGTTGGGAGGCTTGCTTACTTACTTACTTACTTACTTACTTACTTACTTACTTACTTACTTACTTACTTACTTACCATAAACATCATTTATTGTGAAGAAAACGCTCGGTGCATCTTGTTATGTCTTCAAACAAGATAATTGCAATATTATCTTAATGCCTTGACCCATTGCTCGTAAAATGCATCATCAAATTGCATAATTTAGCTCGATTTATCACCTCTTCCACAAAGCAGATTGCACCTGCACATTTACATAACAGTTTCTAAGTTACAAATTTGTTAACTTTTTATTTAATAAGTACTGTACATGTTATTTGACTATACCACACCCACCCACCCTGCTAAGCCTTTTCGAGCTGATCCTTAACTCCGTAAAGCGCGTGGTTTGTACGTATTTGTCGATTTATATTTTAGCAAATGCAGATATATGGATGTTCTCATTTTAGCGGGGACACACCAGCAGTACATATATATTTTTTGTCTAGCACGAATTGCTTTCTCAGCACGCTGAATTACTACCAGTCACATCATAGTATTATGCTACAACGGTCTGCCTGTAGTTTTTTTTTTTTAATATTCAACGAGGGCTAACATTAGAGAGATTGTTACTAAAAATAGGGAGTGTTTATACTGAAGCCTGTAATTATCTAGCTACCGTATTGATAAAAAGTGATGGGAAACTTTGAGTGCGATGCCAGTACATGGGTGAGATATTTATTTATCATATAGGGTCAGAAAATCAATGTGCGCATTTGGCCTGACTATATTTCGCAACATAGCATTTGACCACCGCCTTATCATACGTGTAAAACATCTGACATATAAATATAATTCCGTTTGTAATACATAATTTAATTCATTTTCGAATTTAATTTAAAAATATTCAAAAATAACTTTTTGACGACAAATCAAAACATGCTGTTAAAGTTCCAATGTCGCTATTACGTGAAAAAAGTCGTGTATGCCAATCATCTGAATAATACTGAGTCTTGAAAGATATTGGTTTTTATAATAATGACGTTTTATTACATTACGAGCCGTGTAATTTCTCCCCCGAGCTAAAAAAAACCCAGCCATTTTTTTCACACGTGTACGAATTAATCTGATGTTGATCGGTGACATTCGTGATTTCTGTCCTATGCTGTCACATCGCTACTTTTGGAGGACTCCTAAAAAAGAAAGGAATTACGAGCAATATGAATGACTGAATTAAGTTGTGTCGCCTCTTAATTCTAAACTGAATATTTGAACATTCAAACCTAACATCTTCATTATTTCAAAGAACGGTTCATATCAGATAGCTTTTCAAACAAATAATGTCCTTCTTTCCAAATTTATGTGAGACGGCTGTATTGAGACTTTAATATCATTAAATTAAGAAAATGAATACGGGGGATTTTCCGTCTATTTCGTACCAACGGAAACTTCCGAGTACCTTAACCGTGGAAAAGCACTATATATATATATATATATATATATATATATATATATATATATATATATATATATATATATATATATATATATATATATATATATATATATATATATATATATACACACACACACACACACACACACATAAATACTCAAACACCTGTACTAAATATAAATAACCTATATGTAGTCCTGTGCCAAACCAAACTCTTGCACCCATTGTGAACTTGATGAGCTAATGTGTCTAGTCATGACTAGACTAAATAGAACAGACTACTTTAATCAGTTTTAAAATGAAAGTTGTTTATATTGACAAATATGTTTACGTCAACAACAAGAATTATCAGACAGCAAACAAAGATAAAAGTGTTGAAGGCAATGTGGTACCAGTTAATTTCATTGTAATAAAATTCTATTTAACCGGTCTACTGCGCTAGTATATTTGAGTGAAAAGACACGAGAGATTCAAATTTGTGTAAGGAATGGCGCAAATAAAAGTAGCAAGGTAAATATTTGTTTAAGATGACACGGTACAAAGAACAAACAAGAACAAAGTAATATTCTGCTGCGATCGTATTTTAATTGCATAATACACAAATCCTCTATTTTCTGGTTATATTTGTACCGCGAACTAATTGTAAAGCATGATTATGCAATACTGTTATAAAACGAGTAAGAGCTCGTTTAAAAGATCGTTTACACAGGTAAAATTGTTTTATCATGACGTAATAAGTCTGGTCCGTCGCATTATCATTGTTAACCTGACTACGTGGTATCACACCAATATTAGATTTAGCCATAACTATGATAGTCTTAACCATCTCATACACGTTTTTATTTGGTAAACCCCGTTTTTACCTTTAATAGTTAGACCAGAGTCAACATAATTTATTAATATTAAATATATCTGTAATAATAGCAAATAATTACTATTTGATCGAATCCTTGGCCAGATCTTACCATTTGTATTTTCCATATTACTTGATGCATCCAAAATCCGTTCATTCCTAAAATTTCAAGATGTTTCTATAAAGTATCAAATGCACGTCTTTTTAAAACCTGCTTTGAATGGCAAAATCTGTATTATTGTGCATTATAATCAGTAACAGAAATTAAAACGAATCAAACACATGACTTTTTTTGCGAAAGGTAGAGAAGGGTCATATACAACATTATACAATGTTTGCAACCGCTCCGGTGGCCTAGTGGATAAAGCATCTGCCTCGGATCCAGGAGGTCATGGGTTCAATCCCCGGCCGAGTCATACCAAAGACTTGCAAAAATGGCACTAACAGCTGTCTCGCTTGACGCTCAGCATTAAGAGGTTAGTATTAGGACTGGTTTTCCTAGTGTCAGGATAATGTGACTAGGTGGGACATCATACATGTCTGCGGCATGATGCCCCAGTGCTAGAGATCACTACAAACTGCCACACTACTGACATCATAGCTATATGACTGAAAAATTGGTAAAGCTACGTTAAAAATTATAATCACAACATAAACACATTACATACAATGTTTGCAAATAAAATGAACAGTGTTGAAGATTTCCAGAGAGGATGATGGGTACGATTTATCGCTATAAACCTTGATTTGTTTTATCAACTCCTACGATTGTTTTGTTGTTAATTTTTTCACCTTTTCTTTAAAAAAATTTCAATGATTGTATCAGGTCCAAAGGAGGAAACATTTATTTTGGTTATTAATTATGATTGATATGTATTTTTACCATACACACTAACACTACCATAACATAATAAGCGAAAGAAATACATGAATGTTCCGTTGCGTTTTGTTCAAAATTACCCGAAGTGAAAACAAATTAGGCCACGTTTATTTTAGAAGATAATCAATTTTTCGATCTTAATCTGAGAATTATAGCTTGCTAAAATTTATCTATCTCTAAAACAAATAACTGTATGGTACTTTTCCATGTACCAAACAATATGAAAACTATTTTATATGGACCTTTAAGGAAGTTTCAAAAGGAACTTAAGTTCCAGCTGTCATTACTCGTGTTGCAACAGACAGGTTTCGACTCGAATTTCACTACCGTACTAATAGTTGACAAGGGCCAAGCTAGACAGCTGCTAGTACCAATTTTTATATATCTTTGGAATGACTCTGCCGGGGTTGAAACCCGCATAGAAGACGAATGTTCTAACCACTTAGGCCTCAAGTGCAGTCAAGTAAAAGTTTGGTAAATAACCGCTTCGATAGGATGTAGCGAAGTCTTTTAGTAGCATAGTATCAAAGAGATAACCACTTCGATGGGATATACCAAAGTCCTTCAGTAGCATTGTATCAATGAAACTACTTGGTATAATCAATATACTTCGGATTAGCTTTAGATTTTTTTTGTTTATTTTTTGCAATGTTAGTTCAGATGTAATGTTACTCGGGCTGTTTTTGTTACAAGCTGATGTTAATCTCGGTGTCTGTGACTTAGGTCTAATGTTACTCGGAGTGTCCGTGATACAGTCTAATGTTATTCGAGGTATTTATATTACACTCTATATTACTCCAGGTGGTTGGGATACAATCGAATGTTACTTCGTGTGTATGTGATGCAAGTCGATGTTACTCGTGTGTTAGTCATACAGTCTAATGTTACTCTGGGTATCTGTGGCACGGGTCTGGTGTTACTCGGGGTGTCCGTGATGCAATATAATAATCTCGTAGCGTTAATTTTACAATCTATGTTACTCCGGGTGATTGGAATAGAATCTAATGTTACTTGAGGTATCTGTGATACAATATGTCACTCGCGATGTATGTGATACAATCTAATGTTACTCGGGAAGTCTGTGATACAATCTAATGCTACTCGGGATGTCTGTGATATAATAATATGCTTGACTGATATACTGAATTCCTGCTTCTGAGGAGTTACGTATCAGAGGCTGGCGTAGTAATGACACGTATATGCATTAAAATTTGAACACCCTCGTTAATACTATCACACGTGCCATGAATATATACTCACATTTTGTGTGTTCATCGGAATGCATTTAATTTTGACCTTCTTCGTTATCAAGTTTTGTCTTACCATCAATATCCCTCAGATCTATGGCACTATGAGTAAAATAATTTGTACCCCAATGCCTGATACACTTAATTCAAGTACTTACTAATTAAATCTTTTTCTCCCAATCTCGCTTTTTGAGATTTTTCGCTGTTTTGTTTGAACTCTTCTGTTTGTATAGTTCTGTTGCGACATCTTCACGGTGTTTTCTGCCTCTTCAACCTCGACCACTTCGGTGGTCTAGTGGTTAGAGCATTCGACTCAGATGCGGGCGGTCTCGGGTTCTAACCCCAGCTGAGCTATACCAGAGACTTATAAAATTGGTAGCAAAAGCTGCCTAGTTAGACGTTCAGCATTAAAAGTTTTCTATTAGGCCTGGTCGGCCTGGTGTCAGGATAATGTAACTAGGTGGGACTGCGTCATGATGCCCTAATGTTAGATATCACTCTAAACTGCCACAATGCAGACATTGTAGTGATATGAAAGAAAAATTGTTAAAGACGCATTAAAAATACAACACACACATATACATACATACATACATACATACATACATACATACATACATACATACATACATACATACATACATACATACATACATACATACATACATACATACATACATACACACCTACATTCACATACACTTACATCCATTCATAAACACATACATACATACATACATACATACATACATACATACATACATACATACATACATACATACATACATACATACATACATACATACTCTCCATCGATATCAAATAATTTTGAATTGATAATTGCTTCCTTCAAATGTTAGACCTTTAACTATTACTCATCTAGTAATTATTCCTGCGATAATTACTCCTGTAATAATTATTCTGGTTGTTGCCATTAATCAAACATCATTGCCGGTGTCTTTGATACGCGCCATTTGGTATTGAATAACATGCTGCTTCTTTCCAAACTAATTATATTTAGGATCAACAAAATTTTAATGTGGTTTAATATTCATTATACTATCATTCCTCTAACGATAATGACAGTTATTAGTCGATTATAAAACTCAGCGATTGCAACATAAGCCATATTTCAATTTGATTTAGTTACTATGCAGATGTCAAGATTATTTTACATTGTCTTTTATTATACAAAATATTGATTGATGATGATCGTCAATCACTTATCAAATTACATTTGTTTTTCTTCCATGAACAAGTTAGAACAAAACTGTATATAAATATTTGATTCTCTCTCTCTCTCTCTCTCTCTCTCTCTCTCTCTCTCTCTCTCTCTCTCTCTCTCTCTCTCTCTCTCTCTGCTTTAAAAATCTCTCTCATTCTGCTTTAAAACTCTCTCTCTCTCTCTCTCTCTCTCTCTCTCTCTCTCTCTCTCTCTCTCTATCTCTCTCTCTGTGCTTTAAAACCATTGCTTTAATATCATTTTAGCTGCATTTTATCATTTTAGCTGCATTTATGGTATTTTGTATTTTATTTATAACTGACTGTGCTGGGCACGTATGTATTCTGACTGAATGGACAATATCCAGTATCAGGCCTACCATTTTTCAGTGTATTTTAATTTGGATTGCTCTTGATATTGAATGCAATTTCCTCAAAATCGGTGTACTAAACAGTGCCAAAGGTTTGGGGGATTTTATTTACCGACGAGGCGTGAAACCTCTGTCCATATCAGATAATTTGATTTTATAGAGGTGAAAAAATGGCACATTGTAACACTTTTATCCATCAAGAATGCATCGCTCATTATGCATTTGTTCGACAGGTTGATATTCCTCTTTCAATCTAAATTAAAAGAATTATCAACGCTCTCAAGAGTGAATCAATATTTACACGAAGGTCATGACCCTTATTTTGTTTATTATCTCATAGACCATTTTGTAGTCTTTTATGCGTGATATTTGTATCAGCTTTGTAAAGACAGTTTATTTCAAGTTCATATTTTTAATACGGTATAGTTTTATTTTTTCTGTTATATCATTTATTACCCAACAATATCGGTGTGTACATGGTTGTCGCCTTATCACGTTTTTTCGTGTGTACCATTTTTGTTTTTACCTGTGATGTTTTTCAATGTACGTTCTTCTTTCTGATTTTGTTTCCAATACAAAATCACATGCCACCTATGTTTCATCTCCTTTGTTTCTTTTTTCATCTCGTTGTTTCTTCCAATATGTCGTATTTTAGAAACTTTTTATCTTTGATCAACTCAAATCTCTCATCTTTCTGTCCAGATATTATCCTTCTTTGAGGGAAAGGTCTTTCTAGATGTGTTTTTCGGGAACATTGTTGATGTTTATTTGAATTGCATAATGTTTTCATTTGGTTACAAGCTATTAAATTAATGATCATATCCTATCCATTTAACAAATATACTACTGATTATTTTGGCCTTAATAACCTTTTTAACTTTGTACATATCTTATATTTTGTCTTTCGCATAGAGATATCTCCTGTTCGTAAAGCATACCATCTGTATCATCTACCTTCCAATCTTTCAATTTGAAAGAATTGGATCACCTTGAATTACTTGCCTGATTTTAAATATGTCCTCGATAATGTTACTAAAATATACATCCCCTTTTAGAAAAAGTGTTTTTGTTTTTCTCTGTTCTGATTGTTTTACAGATTTTATGTGGGCGATCCAAATGTATAATCTCTCAAGTAATCAAATATAATAATCCACAGTTTATGTCTGTTTTCTTGCTTGCTTGTTTCAAGATGGTTTATATCGATTGACCTATGGTGCGTGTTATTGTAGCCATTATGAATTAAATTTATTAAGTTTATTCTAAATGAAATACTTCCACATACTTGTCTTTAGAACTCTGTTAAACCTTACCAAAACAGATGTTATTTTTGCGTGAATAAGCGTAAAAGCGCTCAATGTTTTCCTATTCCAACAAAGTAATGATAAACTTCTTGCAAAACCATTTTCTTACAACAGAAGCGTTTTCCTGGTTTTTGCTCTTCAAAGTATTTCGAATATAATGTAAATTGAAACCAACCAACAAACCAACCCAACAAATGTAACAAAATATTCATTCTATGAAACAATTATGTGATTTCCACTAAGGCTGTCCGTATTTATTGAAACACAAAGGCAAGCTTTCTTGCAATGTTATAACCAATAAATACTTGCACGAAATATCGAATTCGTACAGTTCTTCTTATTTACAATATTTAAGAGTTCTCAATGCTAATGCAGATTGATCCACCAGATTGCGGACAAACGTTTCCATGGAGGACATTGAAATTGATTGAAACTGAAACTATATGTTGTCCAACTGTTAAATTAAACCTCTGAATCTCAAACTTAAGGTATAAACATTCTGACAGACTTTATTTATAGATTGTTAAACATCTTTTTTAAAAATCTGAATATTCTTTACATACTAAAATAACATTTAGCACTACACAGGAGTCACTACATTTTTTACACTGACATTCTGTGACACTCTATCCCATTACTATATATTTATAGTAATGGGATAGGCAATTTTTGGGGCAATAACTGAATTTTAATTAAAGTCCTTTCGGTAATGGTTTGAAAGATATGTTCGAATGGCAAATTTTAAACAAACCAGAGTAAAAATTGTTGGGAAATTTTTGGGTATTTGAATCAAGTGTCGTATAATGATATTTTCAAGCAATAATTTTTGATAAAGGCGGATTCATGAAGTTTATTCTGACATCAATGGGAGTATTACATTTTTTGGCGGTTTGAGAAAGTTATTATGATTGGTTGAGTTAAGCGAGAAGGTGTGTATTCCCTGATGGAGTTCAAGGTTTTAAGAAATTGTTCTCGTAAAATTAGTCAATCTAAATTCTGATGAGAACCAGATTGCTAACTTCGAGAAGTAACGAGTGATTCTCGTTAGATTTTATCGAAGAGACGCGAGTCGAAAAGTTGAGGGCAAGAGGTTAAGCTGCACAGTAAGAATGAATTAATTAGCAAATTAGCATAGTTAGGACAAGGAGTGAAGTCCATTAATTAATTTTGGTTATCTCTGCTCAGATCTCTGTAGATGACGTTAACCAAATCCCCTATAGAGTGGGATCTGTTATTTAAGATTTTCATACTTGTTTGTGATATCCAGGCCTGGCGGTCTATGATTTCCATGTCTAGTTTATTAGTATTATCCTGCTTATTTGAATAATAGCCAGGTAGTTATTTATTATTTCCAGATTTGGTTATTCAAGATTTTCATGCTTGTTGGTTTGTGATTTCCAGGCCTGGTTGTTTAAGATTTTCATGCTTGTTGGTTTATGCTTTTCAATCCTGATGGTTCCAGGTTTCAGTTTAAAGTAAAAAGGTATTTGAGCACAACTAAGCACAGTCCATCTCAATCAGATTAAATACTTATCATATATATGTTTTAATCAGCTTACCGAACTATAAAGAAATCAATTTGTTTTTTTAAAATAAAAACCTGATATTTGGGAAAGTTTAATTGGTAGAGCTATTATTTTGAGGTTAATGATTAAAAGTGATGTGGCTCTGTAGCTGCTGAGCACGAAAACAGCAGGAGATTTAACGAATAAGCTGAAGCAGACCAAATGGTAGTTTCAAGTGTCCTTGCAAAGAGTCCAAGCCATCTCGAATGATATACAGACTGGCTCCTAATTTCAAAATATAAGCCTCCAAATTAACAAATGACTCTAATAGTCACGCCTGTCGGTCTACTCTGTTATTCAAATATGAGTCAGAAAGCAGAAAATTCGATAAAAATTCAGCGACCCTCTTCTGTAAGTCAAACATTGTTTCACTTATACCAAAGACTCATTACATAATTTAAAGGTAAATGAAAAAGATATGACCCAACACGATAAATACAATAAATATGGCCCTTTCCTCGAATTCTGGAGATTGTATGTATTTTCGACAGCTGAATATTCATTTGATTAATTATGCGCACTGGTAGCTATGAATATGGAAGAAGCAGGATCCACGGAGAGGGTTCGTGATCAATTTACCTGTTTTATTCATAACAAGAAAATAATGCCTATTGTATTAATTGCACGGAATGTCTTAAAAATTCATCTTTTGACATCACCTTTTCATAATGAATGAATTCCTTAAGGATTAGCTGTAAAGCTAATTATAGTTTGACAACTACGCAGTTTTTAATCGGCCGTTTCAACGATGAGTTTCGATTTTTCGATAATCATTTTGTACAATCGCCAATAGAGACTGGAGATTTACATAGAAACGATATCTTGAAAATAAATCTTCAATAAAATGTGCTTAATTTACTCTAGTGGGTATCACTTTTTAAAGCCTTCAGCATTAT